ACAGACCTGGGTCTGACCCCTGCTCCTGTCATCTGACTTTACAAAGTGTTGATCCAACCAGCTTGGAGAAAGGGATCTTTTATCTTCAGGTAAGCCAATTCTGAAAGATCTGCAGGGCTGAGTGAGATCATAACAAGCCTCTGATTGTGAAAGTAACAGGGGGATAGATTCTAAAAGCAGTAAGAGATTTATCTGAATAGCAGGCCCTTCAGGCACTAAGCACAATTACATCATGGATATGGGCCAGATACTTCTCTCAGTTGCACCACACTCCTCTGTAAATCTGAAGCAGTGCTTTGAAGCTGTTTTCAGAAACACATGCTGAGTTACCAAAAAAAGGAACAAAGTTTGTCCAAGAGCTCAGCCTATTAAGTGGTGAACGAGATACCAAAGGTGTGAAGCAGATGTATAGGTCTGGTCTGCAAGTTATTATCAAATTACATTTCTATGGGGTTTGTTGTTGTTGTTGTTTTCCTTACACTTCCTCTTTCCTCTTCCAGATAGCTCCACATCCTTTCTTTTAGTTATTTTCACGGCTACGGTTTATCTGTATGGTCTGAATATCCCCATACTGCTTTAGCCTGTCACAAATTTTACAAGCCACATGATAGTTGTTTAAACTGTACCATGGCACATATTTCAGTAGCGTTACATTTCTTGTACTGTTTCCTTTCTTTCTTGTATTGAGAAGGCATGAGCAACAGAGCTAAGAAAGATAATTAAATTGCTATTTAATTTCTGCATTCGTTGTTGTTTTGAATATTTTTATTCAATAAGTCATTAAGAGATTATGTGAGAACAGGGCAAAATAATTTTTCTAGTAATAAGATTGGGCCTGATCCAAATCCGCATGAGTTAAAGAAAAGGCTCTTAGTTTATTCATGGACTTTGAGTGAAGGCTTAATCCCTCAGTCCTCAGCCAAGGAAACTCTTGCCGACTGTAACAAAAATTTGCTAGAATAAGGAACGCGAGCATTTGTGTATTGATCTCAATAAACTATACACCATAAACAATAGTATTAATGAGTATTTGGGAAGTATATGCATAACAGATGGGCTATCAGAGCTCAACTGCAGCAGTAAACCACACATTTTTAACTTAAATACCGAGGTTTAACAGTTCAAAATGAATTTATTGCCTGAAGTGCATTACAGAAATTGCTCACATCATTAGTATAAAAACAGTACCATCCTAAATCTGAAGGCCTCGGATTGAGTTTCTCATAAAAGCATAATAATTATGAACATGAAAAAAAAATCCATATGAGTGGATAGAGGGAAGTGATAACATACTTGTCACACATGCAGTGTTTCTTTTAGAGAGTTCTTTGTATTAGTTTTAATTGGAAACTACAGGAGTCTTACTATCTCTGTCCGAGGAAGCATCCTAAACTTGAGAAACCACGAAGCTCCTGCCCAGAGTCTTTCTCCTGCACTCTCTCCTGCTTTTCAGGAGTTCAGAGCATACAATCCAATAAACAATATTGCCTTCATGCATAGAAGCGGGTAATGTGATCTGTGTGGTCTGGAAAGTCATTTAAACGAGATTATATTGTTCACAGGGTGCAGAATAACCCCACTAGGAGACCACGAAGCAAAGAAGATAGAGCTGAGCAAAATTAATTGAGTTCCAGAGCCTCCACCCGATGCCAGCAGCAGGTGTGAGCAAACTGCAGCGAGCAGAAAAGCCCTGCTCGGGAGATAACACGGCTCAGCCACAAACAAACACCTTATCCTCACCGCCGTGTTTTCCTTGAGACCTTCCCACGGTCCGCGGTGATACCGAGGTGGAGTTTTAATTGGAGAAGGAAGGCGATTTTTCTTCTGGGGGCTCCTCCCACCGCCTCGGTATTTATTGCTCTACAAATTGCAACTTCCTCCTCGTTAGAGAAGCGGCTGCTGTAAATTACTGCTGCGCGCAGGGCAGCTGCTCAGGAGTGGAAATCACATCAGCTGCTTCCAAGCTGAATTTGGGCTAAACGAAGAAATAAATATTGGTTTTCTCTCTCCCCCTTTCCTTTTTTTTTTTTTAGGAGAGGTTTTCAAATGCGTTTATTTCCAGTGTTTACATTTCTGTGACACCTGAAGAGCAATACGCATTGATTTGTCACGCAGCTCTTGGACACACCTACTCCTCTACGAGGGCAGCCAGCTAGGAACACCGGTGCTTTGTGTGCTTTGGAATCGGAGCACACGATAAGAATAAAAACATCTGTGTCAGATGTGCATGCTTTTACCCACTGGCTTGCTGGGGGAAACGCTGCTTTCGTGGCTTTCCCGTAAGAAAGCATAGAAATATGCCATTAGCAAGATCAAGCTTTGGGAACCATAGACACCTATGATGTTCCATTTAAAATTACATGTTTCAAAGGAATTAATAGATCGTTATAGGCTGTAATTCTAGTGTAGTTATATACGGTCTAAACCTTACTTTCGCCTCCAAGTTAAGTAACGACCCGAACTGCTCTCTGATTGTTACTTCGGGGCTACAAGGAGCTTTGGGGCATCATTAAAAATATTTCCAGAAAGAATCGGTAGACCACATCTGACGTCCCACCCTCTGCTAGAATCAGACCACATCAAAGGAACCCTTTTTGTTCTCCGAAATGGTCACCAGACAACTTAAAATATACAAGGGCAGGGTTATGTTTTATTGTATAGATGTCTGCCTACAGGAGAGCGACGTCAGGTTGCTGGCTATTCAGCGTTGTGCCGAGCGAGACGAGGTAGCTGCAGCCCTTTGATATTTTGGTAGAGGTCGTATTCATTTCATTTGAAAGGGACTCATTAATGACAGACCTGCGAGCTCTCCCCTCCCTAAGAAGCAGGGCACACACCGCTTGGGAAGCCCGGGGCGGAAAGATTTGTAGATGATGGTGCTAATTATGAAAATGTGATCAGGATGGAAGCTATTTGAGCAGAAGTCATTAACGCGTTACCCTTCCACCCACTGCTCTTTTGGGTTTATTACTGCTGTGGGAGGAGGATTTTGCGGGCTTGTTTTTTTTCAGAGCGCTGATGAAAAAAGCCCTGCAAATCCAAAATGATACAACATCATCTGCGCATCTCCAGGTTGGAGAGATGCTGTCATCACCGAGAGTCGATACGCGCAGTGCCGCTGAGAGCATCTCCTCAAGCTCCGGCGTCCCTCGGGGGGTGAGGGGGGGTCCTCCCCTGTCCTATGGCCCGGCAGGGACCGCGGGTCCCCGAGGGGTGTGGGGAGGGGGGAGGCGGAGGGACCCGGCCCAGGGCAGCCATCCTCCCCACAGGCTGTGGGAGGGGGGCCGGAGCGGCTGCATTCTTATTTTCAAACGGCCACAGAGCTTTATTTTCATTTCTATTTACTTTTCCTAAATAGACTGGAACCGCGTTAGTGCCTGGAAGCGGTACTGAGGGAAAAGAAAACAGCAATAAAGAATTAATTGTACAAACATTTCTCATTCTCAGATCCGACTCTCCCCGTGAGGCGGGGGCTGAACGGGTGGGGAAGAAAGGGAGGAAGGGGTGGCAACGGCGGAGAGGGGAGCTTGTGGGTTTTTATGTGTTTCCTTTTATTTCAGACGGCCCTGTAATGAAAAGCCTTTTAGCCTTGGAGAACTACTAAATATTGAGCGCAGCTTAAAGCAGGGAGGAAGGTCGCATCCCTTCGCTTATTTTCCCGCTAGTAAAAGCTTCCTTTTATTAACGTGTAAGAAAACCCTCTAGCTCTGCGTAGGAATGTCCTTTAAAATATGTTATAGACCTCTTCTTGTGCGCCGACAGCGGGAAAAAATTATATCGGTGAAGGTCAGGCAGTTGAATTCTGTCGTGCTTCACTTCAAAGGTGTATTTGCGTGCCCTGCGAGCACATTAATACTAATTATCGCCCAAACACTTCCCCAAAACTCCCACTGCCCATTTCAGATGCAAATCTAATTAACGAGCCGCCTTTGAGCGGCACGCAGGACCGCCGCAACAGAGAGAGATGTTGGACCTCTTGCCTTCCCCTCCATTTATTCCTAGGCGTGGGCAGTGGGTGCGCGGTAGCGAGTGCGGAGCTGCTGCAGCTAATGAGGCACCGGAGTTAGGAAAAAGGATTAGCCCCAGCCTCTTGCAAATGCATTGAGCACCCATGTAACAACATTTGCTTTCCGGCTGGGCCCCACTTTGTCGAAGTTAATTTAAAAGTGACCGCATCTTGAAAGACCTACCTAAATAGCGCGTGTTACTCGTAACTGGGAGTTGGTGGATTTAGGGATAGCTGTTTGCTTTCAACACCAAAGCGAGGTGGGGGGGAGTCCTCGAGTGAAAGCCACCGAGACGCTCTCCTCCCGGCTTTCTCATGCTCCCGCGTTTCCGAAAGCCGCCTAACCGAGGTGGTCGCTGAGGGCACCGGCGGCCGCGGGGCTGCGCGGGAGGCGGCGGAGGCTGCGCGGCTTTTGCGCGGAGCGTAAGGCGGCGGCCGCGGGCAGCCCCCGCGCCGGGGGGGAGGTGTGCGTGGGGGCAGCGGTGATGCTGTGTAATTTTATCCACGCTGCACTCTGGGAGTTCACACGAGAGCGATACCTTTTGCCTCCTCTGCTTCGTATCAATTGGTCGCAGATCGGGCTATTGTTGCGGGGAGCCGCTTTTATTTCTATGCTCCGCCGGTCAGCTATTTCCCCGCAGCCTCCTGCCGAAATTCAGCGGGGCTCTCTCTCCCCCCTCCTTCTGCTCCTCGTGCCGTCTGTCTAGCTGGAAACCTAAGGAGAAAACTGAGCGCTGCTGCTCCATCTCACGCAAACAGCTGGGACTCCTCGGCGGCCTTCGCCGATGTCTATTGATTTAAGTAAATCTGAGACAGATAAAAGGGCCAGATCGGGGCCGATGATAAAAACTTGCCGATGCTTCGCCTCTGGACGCGGTGCGCGCCGTGCCGCCCCGCCGCGCCGCTAGCCGGACGCCGTTAATGGGAGCCCCGGTGCCGCTCGCCCCGAGCCTCCACTCCCCCGCGGGCTGAAAGCGGCGGCCACCATGCCACGATGCTCGTGATCTGGCTCCTGCTGCTCGCCCTGCTGCCCGAGCCGCACGTCCCGGCCGCTACGGCCTCCCCGAGGGCCCTGCGGGATGCGGGGGGGCGCGGCGGCGTCTATGAGCACCTCGGGGGAGCGCCCCGCCGCAGGAAGCTCTACTGTGCCACCAAGTACCACCTGCAGATCCACCCCGGCGGCAAGATCAACGGCACCTTGGAGAAAAACAGCGTCTTCAGTAAGTACCGGGCGCACCTTTCCCCGGCCCGCTCCCCCCGGGCTGGGCTGCGCGGGGAGGGGGTCCCTCGCTCGGACCAATTGCGTCCTTCGCTGCGAGGATGCGGGCGATGCCGGGGACGGAGCGGGACGGGACGGGGCTCTCCCGCTGCTCCTCCCCTGCCCGGCGCCCGGGGGCCCCGCGGTACCCTCCTGCCCTCGGAGGGCTGGGACCCGAGGAGCTACCCTCGCCCCACCGGGCTGCATGCAGCTCTCGGCCCTCCCCGTTTTGCCTCCCTCGGGCCGAAGCACATCTGCCCCCTCCGTTAAGTGCCGGCGACGGCTGAGATGAAACGGGATATGTTGGAGCGGGGGCTTGGGCGAGGGTGGAGAGGGGGCCTGCCGCTGCCTCCGGGAACCCCCGCAGTCGCCCGTGGGCACAGCCCGGCCCCGCCGCCCCAGGAAGCGTAAATCCCGGCTGGTGATGGCACACAGAGATAGGGGGACCTCGGGGATCTGTCTGAAGTCCATAAAGGAAAACCACGATTTCCTAGAGGAAAACCCCCTCGTTATCAAAGCCCGGAGGAGACATCCTTCAGCGGCTAACCGGCGGCTGATTCAAAACAGCTGTACCGAAACCACCATAGCTCTCACGGACGAGGTTGGGCCAAGATGCAGCTCTGCAGATGGGACGGGGCCCTGGCTCTGCTCTGTCATTGCCAACAGGCAGCAATGGGTTTGGGTGTCAGGACCGTCTCTCACCTCCAAAATCTCAGAGCCAGCACCAAGCTGTTGGACCACAGCAGGTAAACTGAGAGCGGTTGGAGCCAGAGAACGCTGTGCAGGCAGTACAGCATCCCCTGTGACATTCGTGCCTCTTTCAGCATCGTGGCACATTTGGTTGGGCACAGACATCTTGGCAGGTTGTGTGTCACCCTCACTTGTGATATCCTTTCAGTATTTGAGACCCCATCATTGTCAGCCTGAGACATTTCGTCCCTTTTAACTTGGCACAGGCAGTCATACTGTCCTTATCTGGAGGTCTACATCGACCTCCTAAAGGACAAGTTCCTTTCACAATTATATATGTGGCTCTAAAATGCTGTTTTACCCTCTGGAGACCCCAGCAAGGGCTTTGTCCTGAAATGGAAAGCTTTGTGATGAGTTTCAATAAGTCAAGAGCTCTTGTGTTCCTAAGCATTAAAGAGGATTTAAACTTTTCTATATACCTATAGGATTAAGTGAACCTCTAGTTCAGTGTCAGATCTTTTTCATTTTTGAAAGAGTTCAATCTCAATCAGACATCTGAGGGTTTATTGTCAAGCTTGCCTCCCCACATCCTTGTTGTTTTACACTGCTTCAGATAAGAGTCTTGTTTTGCATACTGCAGTATGGTCACAGTATGGTTTTGAGGTGAGCTAGCAATAGCTATGAAATCATACTGCACAATTAAGCAGCCATTCAAAAGTATCTCAGCAAATTGCATGTGATGGGGAGCAACAACATGTCTCATCTGTTTTTGTTTCTAGGCATCCTTGAAATAACTGCTGTTGATGTCGGGATCGTCGCTATCAAGGGCTTGTTCTCTGGCAGATACCTGGCCATGAACAAAAGGGGCAGGCTTTATGCATCAGTAAGTTTTGGTTAAAGCTTTGGCATACATCTGCCATTTCCTTTGATGAGAGCAGGTTCAGTGGGGAACACGGATTTCTTACAGATGAATGTTTATAGAGATAAGATTTAATGTCTTAACAGTTTTCTCTCTAGAATCATTACCAGTAAGTGAGCAGTACACTTTTAAGAAGCAGAAAGAAGCTGCATTCTTACTTTCTAACTGCATTTACAGCCAAAAGCAAAAGAGTGTATTCAGCAAAAGTATTCCATGTGGCCAAATTTCTTGGGCAATGGATACACTGATAAACATTCTGGGGCCAACCTTGCAGTGCAGGATGTGTATCACTATCCTGAATGCTGTCGTATTTGTATTCAACATCTGCTTTGGCTGCTGGCTGGGGATATAAATGTCAGATTAAGTATATCCAGAAGCAATTGAGCATCTCTGCTGCAGGAAACCAACCTACTGATGAGAGTTCCTCCACACAGAGCAGTTGGGCAGTGAAAGAATTAACGGGCTGAAAACCAGAGCTATAGCAAGGAAAGGGAGCGTTGAAAGTTGTAAGAAGATAAAGGTGAAAATAAACACCTTATCGCACTCCCTTGACATCTGTCCTGACCTCTGAAGCAATATCTGAGCTCTGCTGCCATTAACAGGAGTCTTGCCTTTTCAGCCCAGCCAGTGTTTCCACTCAGTGAATAAAATACTCCTGCTCAGACTTCTTTACACTCGGGGACACAAGAAGGTGTGTTAGCCACTGTGTATACTATGCACATTATCTATCTACTTGAATTTCTTCCAGCATCTTTGATTACACCCCCAGCAATCTTGTGATCTGCAACTGTGTAACATACGCACTGTGCAGTTTCTCTAGGAACCCTGAGGTAGAAAAGCAGATTTGAAGAGGGTGAAACACAGCTCTGTGAGATTTCCTTCCTCCAAACAGTCATTCTACGTAATTCTGTTGATTTGAACAGCATAACACATCCTCAAGTCACATGAGACTTTTCCTTGTGAATGCAACCTACTTAACACAATCAACTTGATCACCTCTCTGTTCTTATGTCTTTTACTTTGCCTTTCCAAGAGTGTCGTCCTGATAGTATTTATAACCCAGATTCTGCAATGTGCCCCATGTGACACCTGTTAAATAAAGGGGCTCTGTTTAAATATGATGGTTCTTTGCTGGCCCAGAGAAACAGGCAACAAACAATTTTGGCAAAGGAAAGTGCATCTGAAGTAGAACCAGGGCATATTGGATCTGCTGTGACAGAGCTAAGTCTGCTGCTATGCCTTCAGCTAATATTCTCGTTAAATATGGGCATATTTTTCAATGGATCTCCTCTGTCAGCCAGAGTCAGCCCCAAAGATATGAAAGGAAAGGATGAATTCTCAAGTTCTTTTTTTATCTTTATCTCTTTCTTGTTCAAAATAGGTATTCCTCCAGGTTAATTTAACTGAATTAAAATCAGAGTGAACAAATTCTGAACAAACAGACCCTATCATATAGCGGAGAAAAGCCAGAAAAGTCTTTTTTCTAGGACTTCTCTCTGCAGCCTGAGAAAAATTACATCACCTTGAAGTTTGTTTAGCCATTGTATCCCAAAGAACATCAGCTATAGTTCCTGTACAACCCAAAAAGATAATTTGCTTTTCCATCTCATGTTTTAGACAGTCTGTTTCAAAGCTGGAGGGACAGTTTAGGAAACGGTTCTTCCATTTGTGCTTTTGTCACGGCAAAAGCAAAGGGAGAAGGCTAAGCTTAGGAGAAAGGTTTTAGGTTTTCTTGCCTAGAAAAGCTGACCAACTATTTCACATGTGTTACCATGCCCGGAGCCTGCACAAGTGCTCTTTTTGAAATAAGTCTGACTTGTCTGGGGATAATGAGACAGGGAGCCTCTACAGAAAGGAACTGGAATAACTCAGTTATCCCTTGGTTCACAAACGTCCCCGTGTCAATAAATTGAGCTTGTTTAATCTGCAGGACTCCTTTATGTCCTGTAGCAGATTGTGATAATCCTCAAGGTTTATCCTCTGTGATAAACCCTCTGCAGACAGATCTGAGGGAGATAGCAACAGGAATCCACCTACATATGGCAGTTGCATGGGCTCCAGCACCACAGCATATGAAAACCTTGTCCTCACAAGGAAGGGCACTTCCGTTTTACAGCTGTGAAACTGAGACATGTGGAGTCTTTTAAAATCATGTTAAATGCCTATCAGAATTTCTGGGGAGTGAACAGCATTAAAGACATGCTGCTAATGGAGCCTACAGCTTTTATGGTCCAGTCCAGCCATCTGTGCCCTCTGCACATCCTCCAGAGAGGCATTTCTGAGGGAAAACTTTCACAGAGACCGTGACAGCAGTTCCTCTATGCCTTACACGTGTTAAGATGCTGAGGTCTTCATCGCACCATGCAGCAGAGGTGGTTCTGTAGTTAAGAAAATGAAGATGTACAGTGTGGGAGGTCCCTTATCTGCACTGCTCCAACTGCTCCCACAGAGGGGGAAGGCGTTCCTCATGCCAGGCTCTTGTACTGCCTTCCTCTTATTCTCAGCTGGGAGAAAGTTGGAGAGTTTTGACAGATCCTGTGAAATGTGAGCAGTCAGGATGGACGTGTACACTTCCTTATAGCTTGTGATAATGGAGCAGCCTAGCATTTCAGAGCAACACAAGTGGACACGGGACTTCCATTTTGTGATGCTGAAATAAAGAGGTTTCATAAACATGTTGTTTACAGCTCAAAGCATTGCAGTAAATTGGATTATCAGACTGTGGGTATATCTAGATAATGATATACCAATTAAAGAGCCATGCTAAACTACAGGCTATTTCATGTCAAATGTGGCTCTAACCTTTGCCTATAACTGAGTAGAATCCTGCTTTGACTTTAGTTCAATCTGGTAGAGGTAAGAGAGCTATTACCTGAATAGTCTTTCTTAATCGTTGTCATGTTTGTTTTCCAGGAGAACTATAACACAGAATGTGAGTTTGTGGAGAGGATTCATGAACTGGGCTATAACACCTATGCATCCCGTCTATACCGGACTGTACCCAGCGGAGCCAGCACCAAGCGCAAAGCCAGTGCGGAGAGACTCTGGTACGTCTCAGTCAATGGGAAAGGACGACCCAGAAGGGGCTTTAAAACACGCAGGACACAGAAATCCTCTCTCTTTCTGCCCAGAGTATTGGATAGCAAAGACCATGAAATGGTCCGACTGTTCCACACAAATGTGAGATACCGAGAGAGCATCCTGAAGCCTCCCAGTAAGAACCAGCGGAGAAGGAGAGGACGCTGATGGAGCAGGGACAGCATGTGTTGGAACTGGAAGTGAGCAAGTCCTCAAAATACTATTAGAAGAAACTAACAACGGTGACTGTATGGCAGGCGTTAACACAGGCATTTTTATACAATGTGTAATATAATCCAACATATATTGCTTACTTATAGATCTTTTAGAATTATTATGCGTCGTAAGAGAGACATGAGATGAGATAAGGCACATTACAATGTAATTTAGTTCGATGTAATAATTATGTCAACAGCTTTCACGTTTTTCTCTTCATAAAAAAGTAATTTTAATTACTAGTATTTTCATTCTAACTTGCCATAGAATCCTATCTAAGTGACCTACCCTCCAGATCATAAGAACACTGCACACATACCAATTCTGTGTCTATGAAGAAAGCACAGCACCTTCATGACTCTTTTAGCAGTTGCTCATAAAAGGCTACACTACTATTTTTATGGTATACAGGGATCAAAAAACTCATTTATTTTGTAACTAGCATATATTTATTTTTATTATGCGATCAACCAGTATCACTTACAGTTTTTCTGTGACCATTCAGGAAACCTGAAGTTGTAAGTTACTTTAAATATACCAACAGACCTACATGTTACAAGGCTATTTTGAATTTATTTAATTAAAAAAAAAAAAAGTTTGATCTCATCATTCAAATGAATATTGATATAGTGGCATTTGCATTGGCTTTAGCACTATATATCTGTTTAACATTAAACAGGATAAATCCTCTCCTAAAATAGTACTTGAGTACTACCAGAGAGCTGAGTTTGTGGTATTGACCAAACACATGACATGGAAAAATTCAGCACTGGGGATGACAGTCTTTACCAAATACTCTTCTTTAGCTAAGATTTCTACAATAAGTTCTAGTTCAAGGTTAAATATATTTTAACAATTTGGGGAAAAAACAAAAACAGTCACATCAGACATCCAAATCTATAGCTGCTACGTTCTGCTTTTCCATCCTTTTTAAATGACTGTTATTTTCATGATGTGGTCCTATATGGAAAAATGCAAGTCTAGATAGGGATTGATGAAGGATTCATAACTTTTACAAGATTCCACAGCACAAAGTTAATTTTGAACAAAGGGGTAAGCTTCAAAATTTTCTTTTCACATCCCAGAGATGACAGAACAATGGGAAGATTTAAATGCACTTGACAAACACAAATAATGATAATCGTGGTAAGATCTGCCCTTGTGCTCTTCACATCCTAGAATTCGTCCCTGACACAGCACAGTTGGAAAATAAGATGAAATAAGCATTCAATCTGAATTGGACAAAAGATTTGTAAGCTAAATATGACATTAAATGGAAACAGAGAGATGCAAATCCCACATGAAGACATATTACCATGGAGGTCTTCTTGTGGGCTATTTACTGAGTAACTGTAAGATATTTAAAAACCAGTTAGTGGAATCTTCCATAAGTAAAGGAAGAATTTTGTGAAGGAGAGTTTTAAAATGAGTCTGTAAGATGAGATTACAATGTCTAGTAAGCATAGATATAGAACTGCCTACATTCCTAAAGGTTAAGACCTGAAGGTATCTTTATATCAACAACTATATTCTGTTTTACTTCCACCTTTGTACCTTTTCGTGATATTTCAGCAACGAAAGAAACTGTGTCAGAATAAGAAAGTAAAAATTCTTCTATATCCGCCTGCCTAAAACACATGTAAATAAAATAATGTACATTAAATAACATAATATGCTGCACACAGAATAGATCTTAGCTGAAAAAAAAGTACAGGCAATGCTGAACCACGTTCCCAAATTTTCTTACCTTTGCAAAATAACAGGAAATGGTGATGAGATCTGCACAGAAGTCATCAAGCATCACAATGTCTTCTACACCAGGAACCAGCAGAAGATCTGTGCAAAGAAACAAAGAGGATGAAAAAGGCACAAAAGAATTCAAATCTTCTGTTTTGCTTACTCTCCCATGAACCACACAAGCTCCAAACTATAGCAGGATCCACAGTGTCCTTTGAGAGTTGGTTCAATCAGTGAAGGAAGTTAGATTTTGTACCCTATTTGCCACGGGTGTTCTGGCAGCACAGCACTGACTATGCTGTGCTACCCTCTGTCAGCTCAGCATTTCTCTTCAGGTTACTGGAAGAGATGAACAACCCAAATAGGCAGAAAAGAAATAGGGACATAGACAGCCCTGACAGCTCTGAAACACCAAATCGAAGTATAGGAAAGTGTCAGTAACTGCAAATTGCAGAGGGAAAGATAACTTATGGCTGAAGATCAAAAACTTTTTTCCTCAGATCTGATTTCTGATGTTCAAGGAGGCTATTTTTGTTTTTGGACACTTTTAGACCTGCTCCTTCCCAATCTGCGAGAACAACCAGATCCATTCTCAGCTTTCTCCCTTGCAAAAAAATAATGTACCAGATTCAGTATTTTTTGATACAAGCCTGACTGCCTAAAGAGAAACAACAAATTATTATATCCCAAGATGCAAAGACAGCATCTTAATACCAGATCCAAGTCCCTTTTCTACCAGCATATAGTCTTCACTCTTAGCTTTTCTCAAGGGGATATGATGTGTTGACCATTTCTTTTGCTTTTTTGTCTCTGTTTTTACCAAATTTTTTTTCATCTTTTTTTTTTTTTTTTCCCCTTCTACCTCTCTTTTATAGATGCTCAAACTACACTACAGGAAATAATTGCTATAGGTGATATGGGAATTCCTTACTCCTGTCTTCATCACATACTTGTAGAAGGATTATTCTGAGCACCTTACAAAGGAAACTGCAATGAAGTTCAGTTTAAGATACAAATTCTATCTATATCCCAGTTTCAGTTTTCAAGCCAACAAATTCTAAAATACTGGCACTGAAAAAAAGGAGAGGGTGGACAAAAGGAAAATAATTAACTAGTGAGACTCAATGGTATTTTAACTACTGAGAGTAAGTGATGATTTTCACATCAATTTAAAGCTTTTTTTTTCTTAGACATTCTTAGAATTTTTCTTTGCTCAATCTCCATGTAGAAATTCAAAGGCGATGGCTTTGGGATGTAACTGGTTTTTTTTTTTATCTTCTGAGAAATATTACTGCTCCTGTTGAAATACTTTTCACTACAGACATTCATTACTTAATATTCTTTTACCAGCCTTGAATTCCACAGTTCCCAAACACTGACAAGCTGAAATTCTATTCACAATAATTATATGGGTTGTGTGATGTATCATGTTTTATTTCTTTGGACCAGGACCTGATGGAATAACTTAACAGAGTTTCCATACACAAGCTTCATTCTCCTGTGCGCTGCTATAATTAATGACTTCAGTTCTGCAGTAAAGTTGACAGAATTCAGAGTTTCACCAGCTGAGGTGAATGAGCTGAGACAACATGGCCACTCCTCACTGGAGTTTTTCAGGTAGTTAATAGGGACAAAAAGCGTTTGAGTGTCCTGTCTGATGCAGCCACCCTCTCAAACAGACTACATGGAGTCTGATCCATGGCTTTCCATTTATATCCAAAACTTTTTTTTTTTTTTTTTTTTTCCTCTCATTTAGTCCTTTCTTTAGCCCATCACAACACTCAAACTGCTCAAAATTTCATCCAAATTGTCTGGTCTTTGGTTACGATGTTAGTATTTATATGGCTGTCTGTTCATAAAACACAGCAGTTTTTTTTTTTACAAATTACAAATTACTCCCCCATGTTGAATAACTATGTATTTCCCTACTCATTCACACATTTTTCTCCTCTCTCTTTACATGGATTTTCCCTCTAATTGAGAGTCATTCCTCTTTCCTTTTGAAATTTTTGTTTCACCGTTTGCTACAGGTCTGACACTCTTTTCTACAAACACTGCTACCATGTCACTAATTTTCTTCACCAAGAATAGCACTCCATTTTTACTCAAAAACTGCTCTACGTTTGTACCACTGGCACTTAGAAGACACTAGTGATGTTTCTCAAGGTAATATTATTTATTTGCAAGGAACACATCAACTTTGTTTTCCTCAGTCACCACAAGCTGTGGTGGACTTTATTGTTCAGACTTTTAATGACAGTGCCTGGCTCAAAGAACTCTAGTTCAGATCTTTGCTTCACACATTTTCGTGAGTTCTCTGATTTCCTGCTTTCTTCCCTTACGGTTTCTCTTTGTTTTCTGTTTTTTTTCTTCACAGTTGTACAATCCTCTGCAAAACAGCAAGCAAATAAATCCTTCTGACCACACATGCCTTTGTTTTAGGTGGTTGCATGGACCTGGGTATATTAGTTCAACCAATTAGTTGGCAAGGCTGACCTGTTTCTTGTAATTGTCTGGATTAAGGATATGGTTATTCCTCCAGCTTTCAGAAGGTTTATTCCCATCCAGAACAGTTCAGGCTGAAAATAATCTAGAAGGCAAAGCTAGTATAGATGCCACTGATATTAGTCATCAAACACTTGATTCCCAGCTTCATCATTAAATACGAGTTTAGAGAAGCAATCAAGTGAACATATTTAGAATTGTAGCCAGGCAGGGCAATGTAAGACATCACAAATTAGTGGCACTGAAAAACTTTGAATTCTAGCTAAAACCTTTCCCATGTGCACCCCATTAAGCACTGAAGACTAGAATCTCCCTCTCTGATGATAACCTCAGAAAATAAAGCTGTTAATGATGACAATTAAAGCTTTGAATCTTAGGGATAACCTTTCTTTTTGTATAAACCAGAAGATTCTTCATATCTGTATGGATATGTATTGCATATGTATTTGTTGTTTTCCTCTGAAAAAATATATAATCAATTGCATTAAAAGTGAGAAATAATTTCTTTGGCCTCGAAAACTCAGAATACTGGAACAGAGTTGTTTACAATGTACCTCTCTGAAAACATATTGAAACAAATTCAGCCAAACACGTCTAAGTTTTGCAATCATGAAACTACCAAAAGTAATATACATACAACAAATAAGTTACATCTGAGTTCTCAGAGCAAAGTATATTCTCTATATTTTTACACTCCCAGAATTAAAATG